CTTGTCTCCTGTGTTAGTAGCAGTAACATGTTCTTAAAAGTACATTTGTTTATAACTTTTCAAAGAGGTATGCTCTTCTATTTTAAAAAATAAAGATGTTCACTAAAAATATCTTTAAGTGTTTTTAATTACGGGCATTTTGTATTGTAAAATTACCTTAGGCACCAAGTGAACACATTTTTTTCTCTCGAAGTAGATGGTAGATAAATATTGCCCCATATGGAAACAATGAAAGTCAAATTCCTTCTTATGAATTACGATGGTTTTTATTTGGTTTTTGATGTCAGGAGAAATAAGTCAAAGCACTGTCATCAGAAATAGGCATAATTGTTGCCTAAATTCTCCTAAAAGAAAATTAAAAGTCAGACATTTTAATTCTTTATATTGAGATTTTGCTGTGGCCTGTGCAGGTTTGTTAGAGTTAAATGCAGCAGTTATATGTTATGGTTTGGAAATTAGCAAAAAAATAACCATTTTGAGTCTTATAGGGTATTTTGATCCTTGTAACGTTGACAAAACTATGTGCAGCTTTAAAGCAACAACACATCAATGGTCACTGAATATACCTTTCTGTGTGGCGCAATCCTTGATGTACAAAGGTTAGAAGTACAACTCATCTTGCGGAGCTTTAAATATTAGACTAGGCTTGGCAGCTTCAGAAAGTAAGTCATTCCTTTTATTAGCCATCTATCTCTAAGGCAGAAAAAAGTGTTCCTAATTTATATAGGAAGCTGATACTAAAACCGCTGCTGAGTTGGGCTCTCAGTTGATCCTTGTGAGAGAATGGATCTGGGCCAAAACTCCTCAAAGTGGAAGTGCACCTGACCTTTGTCATGAGGACAGCAAATGACAGTAGGGATTCTTGGATTACCAGGTGAAAGAAAAAGTCATTGAGACACCAGAAAGGACAACAGTGATGTGCAGAAAGAGGGCAGAGCAGGGATGCACAAGGAGTGTGCGTACACAGGGAAAAATACAGGCGTAATAGTCAGGGGAGCTGACTAGTCTCTTCTGACTGATCTTACGCTGTTTGGCAGCAACTGGGGTATGCGATGCATCTTGATCTGCAGTTTATACAACCTTATAGAAATTAAGTATAGTGTATATGTATATATGTATTTTTTTATATATATGGTTTATATATAATACATATGTTGTGCAGTGCTTTGCTTTCCTTTGTCTATAGGAAATGACAAAAGTTATATGGCAGTTTTCATGGGGTTCCTTGTCTAACATTCATCTGTGGTAGTGTATTGCAATCTCCTTTTAATTTAAAAATATAGGAAGCTGTAAAATGAATGTTAAGGTATAGATCTGTATAGCGAAGGAACCCAAACAACCTTAGCGGTGTCCTAGCGTGCCATCATATGATACTTGTTCTTTTCCTCCCCTGAGTCATTTAGTATGCTGAGAGTATGCATGCTGGACAGAAATCTAAGGTACTATAACTGCCTGTTCACTTGTTGCAACTGCAACATAAACCAGAGTAACTTGCCTAACAATTGTTATAAACTGACATGGTTTAGTTCTGGATTGGAAAAGGAGTAGGAGCACACACGTGGTTTGTTACTATAGCTGGACTAATGACTAAAAACTTACGCACTTGGTCCTCTCTTCTGGCTGGCTAGACAGGTCTTCATTATTCCACGTGAAGATTGTCAGTACAGAAATGAAGTACAAAACTGAATGCAAAGGAAACGTTTCCTCTTATGACCTACTTAATTCAGTAAAGAGTTATTTTCTTGTGAAATGCCAAGTCTTACCCTGGCTTCGTCATGTCAGACTATATACATAAGCAGAAATGTACAGAATTACCACCATCAATTTTTGATAGGTTTAGAGTATCTCCAAGCATGATTTACATAAATAGTATTTAGTTATTTAATTACTGAAATACAATGAGTTTTTTTTTAAAGAAAAACAAGTGGAATTTAGCAAAAGTATTGCTTCAAATAAAAGTAACTTTCCATTGACACACATCCATTAAAGGAAGAATAAAGATGCTCCTCAGCATATTGGTTTTGTAAGGGTCAATGTACAACAAGAAGGATATCTTGTGACCTTATTCCAATCTCAGCTCTTAGGTACCTAATTTCAATTCCTGTTTTCTCTGAGAAAAATTATGTAATACAGTTCATTTTGAAAGTTGTTGGGGGTGACTTACACTCCCACATTTTTCATTCATCCTATAAAGTACTTTATTGCCTTAATGGAAACGCTATGAAGATATTTTCTTCCAGTATGGGATCAACTACAAGCTGCATAGAAAATAAGCAACAATTTCTCTGTCATCTTTTTGTCGTTGTTTTGTAATTAATTTTTCATAGTATATAACTGAGTACCTAATCCTACTGTGTTGTGTTGCTTGCATGCTGGTGCATTTCTAGTACTGTAGCCAGTTTAAAATTTTCTGACTCAAATGACACACCTTGTGTTTGCTCTCAAGAGAAGCCACAGCTACCCTGTGTTGCAAATTCTCTTGCAACCACTTTGGATTACTCTTTCTCCACCTAAGGAGTCTCTGGAGTGAGGAAGTCCTGAGTGGACAGTGTTTTATCATCTGCCTAACTTACAGTGATATTTCATGGCCTCGAGACAGCATCTGTGTTCCCAGAAGGTGTAGCATAAGAAGTGCACTTCGGGTGGGCTTGTTTTGAGGAGGTAGGGGCCAGTGCCACATCAGGGGAAGGGGAAGGCCTTGGACACTGCTCGTGGCAGGGATGAACTGTGTCATTCCTTGGAAGATGTGAGGAAAGGGAAACAAATCGAATAGGCTTTGGCAATGGTCCCAAACAGGCTGAGGAAGAGAATTAACCACATTAATGATTAACGATGGTGAAGCTCATTCAGCTGGAAAAGTACTTTCTATAAGTGCTAAGTGCTGGCATTAAAAATGTATGCATTTTCCTTTTAATCCACACTTGGAGTCTGCAAATGGAGGGGAAAGGGAAGAGCCAACAGTGTCATTATAGCAACATTAATAGCTCCCTACAGCTTAAATCGCAGTTTGCTAAGGCGTGTAACCTAGGACCTGGTTCTTGCAGAGCTCGGCCTTCTGTGGTTGCTGCTTGTGGTTCTCTTGAACTGTTCCACCACCTGCCCTGCAGAGCTCTAAGCGAAGGCTTGGAAACCTTCTGCAAGGCAAACCATCTACTAAGTGAACAGTTGTCTTCATTGAATCCCTACTGATAAAGAGGAAGATGTAGACCGTAATCTATCACACGTGGTTTTTTTTTTTACACATGTAAAACATGTAAAAAAAAGATATCAATTATCCAGTCTTTGTTTTTCTTTTCCAAAAAATAGACCTGTTGTCTCTGTTGAGTAGGAGATGCAGGGAAGGGGAATCTGACAGAAATGAGTTATTGTGTTATCAAGGTGGTGGCAAGTTGCTGCCAGAAAAGCTGTGTACCAGAGTAGCAGAAATTATGTGGGAGGAAGTGAAGTTTTTGCTGCAATCAAGCTGCAAGAGGTAAAATCTGAAATAAAATGTTAATATAGGTGATAGGGTCTCTGAAAGGAGCAGAGTAGACATATCAAGAGGGAGAACAGAAGGAGAAGAGGCTGAATGAGTAGACTCAAAGTCTGGACCTTAGCAGCTACAAGCCACGTGCAAAGGGTTAGGCTGGAAATGTGCTTGTTGATGGGCCTGTTTGATGGCATTTGAAGGAAGAAGTGGCTTTGTGCTCTGACCCATGGTTAGGCACACTGTACTCGGCAAGGTCGATGCAGCCCTTTGCCTTCCCAGGCTAATGGCGAGTCAGCGGCTGCATACCTTTTTGCAAGTTCTGTCTGGAAATAGTACTTGAAGTCCTTGTTTTGCCAGCTTGCTGCAGAGTGTGTAATCCTTCTCGCATCCCACCCAGCTGTATTCTGAGCTTGTTTTGTATCTTCATTTCACTCTGCTTTTGGTCTAGCCTCACTCTTTATTCACATATCCGGTAACAGAGAGTTAGGGACCTACTTTCCATAATTGTCTCCAGTTTGCCACTGCCAGCTGAGCTCCCAAGCAGGGTGAGAACACCACAGGGTGACCCATCCGCTGGAAAGCAGACCCTCGTTTGCTCTTTCTGTGTAGTGTCAGGCTGGTAGAAGTTGCCCGGTACCTGCAGAGAGAAGGGTGTCTCTTTCTCTCTTCTCCATTGCTCCCCTTGCATCCCCAGCAGACACCTATGCAGTAGCTCTCACCTTGATGTGTGGAGGTGGAGGGGGGTGGTTGCTTTTCAAGAATAACAAGGTTTGGTCTTAATTTGCCCTTGGTCTATCCAGCATTCTTCTCTGTTTTGTTGAAGGTCGTGCTGTGCACTACTGTGTTAGATGCTACATTTTCGGTTATGACTTGGGTAAAATGCTGTGGTTGCTAGGGGAGAAAAGTATTGGTATTACCAATATTTATTATTTGGTCCCCATGGAAACTAGTTCTTCTGGGAGTCCTAATTTTCACATTTTTCCTTCCTATGGAAAAGATATATCTTTAGCCATGAAGTTCAGATAGTTATTTTCTAGAAATAGAAGGCAAGATACACCGCTCCAATTTGCTCTCTGGTATGCTTGACAGATGTCTGTCTATGGGTAGTTACTGCTTAGTAAGCTGCATTGTGGTTTCACAATAAAGATTGTGAATAAATAAATAAAGATTTCACATAAAAGATTTTTGGAATGTGGTTAATCTAATTTTATCTTGGTGGTGTTTTATTATTTTTTTCCCCTCTTAGCTCCCTGTTTGATTTGTCCTTTTCCCCATTATTATTATTTTTTAATCTGCTGCATATTTTAAATTGAGGAAGAGTTATTTGATGGGGAAATTAACTAGCTGTTTTCTATTTAAAGGTATAACCGTGGCAAAAGCTGTGAGCAGGGCCCGTGGTTGTAAAAGGGACACAGTAGTATCTGTTTTTTCAAAGAAGTTTGAGTTCTTCAGATTTTCAGAGGAAAGCTGTTAAAATACTGAGTGGTTATGCTTGGTGGGATAGTTAACTCAGTCTTTGGCTCTCTTACAGTGCCTAAAACAGTACGTGGAACTCTTGATCAAAGAAGGTCTAGAAACAGCAATCAGCTGCCCTGATGCTGCCTGCCCAAAGCGAGGTCATCTGCAAGAAAATGAGGTACACTTTTACTGCAAATAGTTTTTTTTTTTCTCTTCTTTCCAGCATGTTTAAATGTGTCTTACTCTGTATGTTACAGCTGTCATTGTTGCCAACGTACGTTTTTAATAATTCTCTAAAGGTCAAATATTTTGTCTCCGTTTGTTGAAAATTCCTTAGATTATTGCTGTTCCTAACTGGAACTTTGTCTTTTCCTTTTCCTTCCTTCAACAGATTGAGTGCATGGTTGCATCAGAAATCATGCAAAGGTATAAGAAGCTACAGTTTGAAAGAGGTAACACATGTTACACTACCCATTGCAAGGCTGCGGGAGCGGTATCACTCCAGAGTGATCCTGTAAATCAGAATCTGGCTCTGCATGTGTTCATGCAGTAGCATTGTGCATTAATTGTTTGGTCATCACAAAAAAAACAAATAAACAAACAAAAAAACCAACCAAAAAAAAAAACCAACAAAAAAACCCCCCACACTCAAAAAACATTGTTTCTGTTCTTGCCTGTGTGATTCCCAGAATTGCAACATTCTGGGAATCAACTGAGGGAAGAAAATTGCTATGTGTTATATTGCTCTATAACTAAGGGAGGGAGTGACTTCTATTTCGAGTTTTGCTGTTTGAGTTGACTACCAGTACTCTAGGGGCTGGAGAGGCAGACTGACCCCTTTTATGGAGCCACCAGTATCTCCTGTGATGGTATCTGGTGCAGAATTACTACATAGTTCTATGTGTAATGATAACATGAACCTTGCTAATTTTTATGAGGACACAAGCTGAAGGGGTGCCTATGGCAATGTGGAACTGTGTGGCCATAGAGAACTTACAGTAAGGTTTTGCTGAGGGCAGGACCCAGCCTAGAAACCACTGAAGTCATTGGTAGGTTTGTATTGACTTCAGTGGGCTTTGAAACATGAAATGACTTACCAGTAAGCAGCCTCCAAGAAAGGGATGACACTGTATAACAGTCTTATGTTAATCATGTGGTTACATTAACAGTCAATCATGTGGTTACATAAGGGCAGAGGCCAACTTGAAATAGAGTCCTACTGGTCAAGGCACTGTAAAAACACTTTCTGATGGGTTATACCTGCATAGTATATGCTCTGCTTAACTTCAAGTACAACTGAAGAAAAATACAATATCTCATTCTCAGAACAAGTTTAGTTCAGTGAATGAAAGCAGGCAATTAATTCAAACTCTGGAAACTCACTTTAGTTTAGTGCCTGTTTGCAAATCAGGCCAGGTTTATGTCTAAGTGGGTAGCATAAATTAAAAAGCTTCTTTTGAAAACATGTGTCTTCAAATGCCCTGCCAGTCAACCTCAGCTGGAATACGTTGTTATGGAAGGTTGGTCTTGTAACTGCCTTTGAATTTTGTTCTTTTATGCCCCTTTACAGAAGTGCTTTTGGATCCGTGTCGGACTTGGTGTCCATCCTCTACTTGCCAGGCAGTTTGCCAGCTCCAGGAACCAAGCCCACAGGACCCCCAGCTGGTCCAGTGCAAAGCCTGTGACATTGAGTTCTGCTCTGCTTGCAAATCTAATTGGCATCCAGGTCAAGGCTGTCAAGAGAACATGCCAATCTCCTTTCTTCCAGGAGAAACAAGGTAAAGTATTGCAAAGATCAAGTCTTTAGAAACAAAACACTCAATCTTTGAACAAACCGGGAGTATGAATAGTAAAGAGGTGTTTTTCCGATACTTTGTTTTAAAGCTGTTTCCTTCACTTAGTCATTCTTGTTCCTTTAATGCTGTATTCCAAAACTGGATAGTTCTTGGCAGCCTCACTCCTTACCAACGTTCCCGGCAAAGCACAAAGGAGCTGCTTGAGCCTCCATCAGCCACCTTTTTGCCCCAGTGGGAAAAATGATATCCAGGCAGCTCATGAGCTTTCCTTCAGAGAAGATCTCATTGCTGCTGCTATTCTGGACAGCGTGGGGGTTGGTAACATCATGCCAGACAGTGATTTTTAGGATACCTTGTCAGTCGTCCCAACTGCTGTATATTTGGCCAATGATCTAAAGTTCTGCTTCAAGCTGTTTCCACCAGCATACTGCAGCCCGTGAATAAGAAAGGCCATTGTGCATGTGTCCTACTTAATGGTTGGGCTTTTTCAAAGATTGTGTAATAGTTCAAGGTATTATCAAAGCCCTGGCCAGCCTTGGACTTAGCTATTCATAACTTGTCTTATTTCAAGCTTTGCTGTCACAGATGACTAGCTAGGATGCTATCATGAATTCCTGGTCAAATATAGTAACTTTTGCACATGTTTTTTTGGTGTGCTTCACCAGAACTGAAGCTCACTAAACTTCATGGCAAGATAAAATCTTTATTTTCCTTAGTGTTTTGGTTGCTTTTAGGTTTTATTTCATGCTTTATTTTTTACTCCATTGAGGCTTGTTTTTTCATTATTTTGGAGCATAACGTGCCAGTAGCAGTTTGTGCTACCACGCATTTGGAATTTCATATACAGTTTATGGATCCAAAGCATTCTTCTGTAATATGATTGCCCCTAATGTGACTAATGAGCGTATGTCCTTTTATCCTGCTGTTGAGCAAATCAATCAATCAGTCAAGGGTCATTCCTGTTTTCCAGCAAACTGTTGGTTCCCCATCAGTCGTTCTTGTATCTCCCAGTGGCAGTGGCTGCAGAAGTGTCATTTGTTAAGGTACATTTTAGTTGTTGGTGTGCATAAAACCTGCATATGGTAGAAAGCTACTTGAGGGAAATAAATATTCTTCTAGTGTTTCCACATTCCTCCATGTTGTGCCCACTATATGAGGGGACATCCTATGGTTTTGCACAGTGATGCAAGACAAGAAGAGGCGGTGCTGACCCTAACTCATGAACCATGACTCGTTAGGACAGTGTTAGAGATGAAGAGATCAACTTTGAAAGAAGAGCATGCCCCAAAAACCTCATGGTTCCTGATCTGCAAGGAAATTCCTAGGGAGGGTCCTCAAAGAGGGCAATCTCTCCCTGGTGCCCCAGTCCAAAGGAATGTGGTCTGGGCTTGTTGTGCCATCAAGGGATTGCTTCCTCCTCTTTTCTGAGAAAGAAGAAAGGAGGAAAAAGGAAAATGATGTAGACATACAAAGCATTTAGGTGTGAACTAGCTGCTGCTCGCCTGATATATTCCAGGAGAAAACTGTATATTATCTATTAGAATCACTACATAACAAAAACAGTTGGTAAAATAAGTGGTAGAGAAAATGTCCTGACTCTTACATAGGCACTGTAGTCATTAAACACTTTTTTTCTAGACATATGTTTGAAAAATAGAGTATAGCCAAAATATCTGAATAACCAAACTCAGTTAAATACCTGGATCTCTACTAATTTCTCATTTTTTTTTAAAAGTAAAAATGTAGGCTTATCTTCTTAGCACATTTCTTAGAAGTTCTTCTCTTCTTCATGGCCACACATCTTATTAAGTCCTCACTCTCTCCCACAGTTCAGTTTTTAAAATGGAAGAAGATGATGCTCCAATCAAACGCTGTCCAAAGTGTAAAGTTTACATTGAACGAGATGAAGGCTGTGCCCAAATGATGTGTAAGAACTGCAAACATGCCTTTTGCTGGTACTGTCTGGAATCTCTTGATGTGAGTACATGCCATGCACTCTGATTCTCAGAAGATTAGAAGTTCATTGCTTTGTCAGCCAGCTCTCTTATTAATCAATTAAATAGTAGCTCACTAGTTTCTGCCCAGCTTGGCGGACTGCAACCCATCAGAGCTGACGCTGGTAATTTGATAGGATTTGTATGCTCTGTTTTACTTGTCTGACCTTTGTGATCTTAACATTTTGCTTATGTGAGTCAGCAAATAATCATTATAAAGCAAATGACATTTTCAAAAAATTTTACAATCTTTACATGGTAACTAACATGGGTTTGGGGTTTTCCCCCCCCCCCCCCTTTTTTTTTTTTTTAATACTTCATATAGTACTGACTTTTCATTGTTCCTCTTCTTGAAGGAGTTACAGGATGAGTATAGCAATGTTCTCAGTCTGTGGAAGGTTATCAGACAAATTTCAGACTTGGTGTGTCACCATGCAGGAGTCTAGCAGTCAGATTTGTTTACCATTCATTGTATTCTGTGGGACAAGAAATAGATCTGACATATGAAAAAGAATACGATGTTCTCCTAACACCAGGAATTTGTCAGTCTGTAAGCTGCTGCTGTCATATGTTTATTTTTTTTAAAAACAGCCTGTTATCATGCCCAAGGATCAGAGTATATACAACATCTGTTTCCATGTCATCTGTTGTATTTTATAGCTTCATTAACAATAGCAAAGGAAATGTTTTAGGTTCCTGAAAGCTACTCAGGCTATTAAAATCCCGTGGTTGTCCCATTTGAATGCTTTACTAACAGTCCTTAAGTCACGTGCTTCTCACGTGTTCACTTACAAAGCACTGTTCCCTTGGTACTAGGCCTGCTATCTTGTCTGGTTTGCCAAAGATGGCAGGACAGATAGGGACATCGTTTGTCAAAAATCTGTATTGTCCTTTTATCCTTCATCTAATAAAAGCAACCAAGTTTGGGAAGGCTGCGGTACAAGTATTCATTTTCCTTTGCTCTTTCTGTATGTGTGTAAAATACATGTAATGGGCAGCTTATCTTCTTGGATCCTCTTGCTAAACTCCATACTAGCATTTAAATATGCAGGTTGAGAGCCTTTGGGAGAAGAATTCATTATAGGTATAAAACACTTGCTGAAAAAACCTGTTTGTGAAGACACTTAACTGTAAACAAAGCACTTTGGAAAGATTGGACCTGGCCATATCCACTTCACTAAGCTTTTATCTTCCTTTACAATTCCTGGTTACAAGTTCTCAGGAAATGGTATTTTATAACTTGAAGAAACAGTTTGTATTTCTGTTTATTACTTACCATTTCATTTAATCTTTTGTAGGATGATTTTCTCCTTATACATTATGACAAAGGACCTTGTCGAAATAAACTGGGACACTCCAGGGCGTCTGTTATCTGGCACAGAACACAGGTAAAGCTCAGATCTTTAAAAGCTCTTTACAGGTCTATTACTGTCATAGTGCCTTCCTTTGCCTTACTCATTTTAACACCTTAGGGTAAAATTCTGTGCCAGATGGTAACAATCTTCATGGCAGATTTAAAGAGGGCAGTAGCTTGGAGAGGAACACGTAGCTCTCCCAGAGAGGACACTCCTTGGCAGAAAGCCACCGAGAACTAGGAAGGGTGCGTTTGCAGAGCTAGTTAAGTGACAAGATATGTTCTCGGTAAACGTGGAGGACAAACTAGGTTGCCACCATCCATACTGTTACCAGGGAAGCTCATCCTGCAAGGGATCTTTAGCTCCAGATCCAAAACTGGAAAGGAATTAGACTGAGTATGCTCTGTATCTTGCTATGGACTCCAGTTGACTCATCATGTAGGCTGGATAGAAGGTAACCCAGTGAGCTTATCAATAGTTCCAAACATAGATTCAAATTGACAATTACAAAGAGTGTGGGGATACCTCTTGTAGTCTAGATGCAGTCTTGCTGGACCCAGCATGAATGCTGGTAATGGAAGAGCTCTCTGCACTACTTCGATGCATACAAAATAAATGCCAATGTGTGACTTAGTCCAATCTCTCACTTCACAGATACAGGGACATCTGGGTATCTGAGTCATCTCTTCCTAAATTAACTGTAAATATCTACCTTAGCTTGAGATGAAGTGGTTTTCATGAAGTACAGGTTTCTTTCCATTTGAGCATAAACCCCAAGTCTAGAGAATAAATCCCAAGTCTGGACAAACAGCTAAACTGAAATAAAAGGAGAAGGATCACACCCTTCTCCCTCCACATACACCCCTGGGTGCCTGAGCTGTGGACTGGGTTTTGCTTGGCTTAGCCAATGGTATCTTAGGAAGTGTATGGGTACATAAGCTTTCTTGATATACCTGTAATATGAGGTGGTTAATCTGATATTTGGAATCTGTTCTTAGCCACAGCAGTTAGTGCAAATACGTTTGATAAACAGTATGTTTGATGTTCTGGTCATTGTTAAGAAAGTGATAATTCTCCAACAATCAGATATAATTCTGCTAAATCCACTAAAGCCAAATCAACATTGCAATTGTTTCCTTATGTTAAGTTGCTTTTGGTATTTATCTAAGGCAAATTGAGGTAAGCCTTTGGTTTGTTGTTTGTGGATTTAAAAAAAAAAAAAAACTTGTTCTGGCCAGAGGAAATGGCTTGATGCTGAGTAGGGCAACAACTTCTTCAGAAGCAACAGAACCAAGTAGAAAATGATTAAGTAATACTCAGCAGACAGTTTTGTTTAAAAAACAAACAAAAAAACAAAATAAACAACAAAAGAAAAACCCAAACAAAATGCAACTTAATGAATTCTTTGATGGCATATTGAGGCTGAAAGGAAGGTGTAAATATCTCTCTCATTTCCAGCTTGGCTCTGTCTGACCAGTGCACTCTTAGCCTGGGCTGCAAAGAGCTAGATAAGGGCATGCTGTCTCCAAAGAGCAGTAGGTCAATAGCTGCAGCTCACAGTTTTTAAAGGAGATGAGAATTTAGCTTTGGGTTATGTCTGTAGTAAATAAATGCAAAGATCAGTAAACAGAAGTTGCATCAGATTGTCAGCACTCCCCAAAAAAAGAATTTGTAATGAAACGTGCACACCTCTGAAGCTGAAAAAGAAATTGCTCTTGGCAAGAAATAAAATTTTTAGGGCAAGGAAGTTTGACCTCTTATCCCTGGACAGACAAAATCCAAGACTGAAAGAATTTGGCATAGTAGGAGGCAGTCTGAGGGTGGTGACTGCTGTCCCACAGCGCCATCTCCCGCAACCAGCCTTTCCTCTCAGCTCTTCTGAGAATCCCTGGATAGTGGAATTGCAAAAAGAAATGCATAGTGATCAGAACGAGAAATTGTCCGTGGCCGACGGAAGTACTAGTAAATCATCCCATCCATACCATGGCTAATTAAATATTTGCCAGCTAATTGAAACAGCTTATCTAGCCCTGGCTAGAAGAATTCTTAATGAGTACTGCACTCTAATTTCTTTTTGCCTTCTGTTTGCAAGCAGATTAGCATTCCAGTCCTGCCTTCATTATTCGAAATTATTCACAGACACTCTCATGTGAACAAATCTAAATTATTTTCTCAAATAATTTGTGGGCATATTGTTGCAGCATTACTCTTAGAGTTGCCTATGGCAAATAGGAAACTTCTTCAGGCAATGAACTTCAACTTGCATGTTTTTTTAATAATTTTCCAAATTTAAACTCTGTAGAAACTAACAGAGTTTGGCACACTGACAGGATGGATAGGTCTGCGGTCCTCTGCCTCTGCTGGAAAGAGGGTGATCAATAAATGTCAATGAAAAAAATGCTTTTAGATGGAGTTAGGTCATGTTCCCTGAAGCAGTAGGATGAGCTCAGGTCTGACTGCAAAAAGCCATTTGACATATGCAAAGTCCTCTTATAGTCTGTAGTGTTTGTAATCTGTGGCTGAGATTCTTGCACTTGTGTTCCTGCTGGTGGGAAGTTTGTGGGAGTCTTCCCAGATTCTCCATGAACAACACCAGAACTTTGACTGATTCTTTTTGGAGCTTTCTCCAGCAAAAAGGTGAGTACCTGAAAGTGGGAGTCTCTAACTCTCTTGTAGTCTTGATTCTGATATTTAATATTTAGGTTTGATCAAGAAAAAAGTACCTAGTCAGTTGCTTCATTAGTTCTTTGAGATATAGCAAAACTCAAAAAGGCAAATAACCATCTGCATCACTTTGTGTGATGGAACGGAGTTGTGTGGCACGATTCTGACTGGAGCAATGAAACATGAAAGTTTGCTCTCTGATTTCACTCACATTTACTGGTCGCAGGAGCTGACTGTAGCATACGCTTGGAGGGAAGTACTGGCTCTGGTAAGATCAATGGCATTTGCTGAGATCCTCTTGAAGGACACTGGTGATGCACTGGTGTCAGCAGAATCTAGACAATTGTTATCCCTAATGCAATGCTATTCCTTTCTTTTGCAGGTGGTAGGAATTTTTGCAGGATTTGGTCTTCTACTTTTGGTGGCCTCCCCTTTCCTTCTACTGGCTACACCATTTGTTCTGTGCTGCAAGTGCAAATGTAATAAAGGAGATGATGACCCTCTACCTACCTAGACTGAGAGAAGATTGGACTCATCACAACATGTGTTTTGATTTTATTGTTGCTGTTGATGTTTCCCTCTTTCACTTACATTGCTGTAGCCTTACTTGCCCATTCTGCTTTTTATTGACACACAGTCTTGGTTCCAGGAACTGTTGTTACTACTGTTGCATAGATCAATTGATAATAGACAAGGAGGGTAATGGAAGGCAAGTTTGGTGCTAAAGGGAGACCGTGGATCCAGGTAGCTATCTGAAATGAAGATTATCTGCTAAAAATAATGCAAAAAGGTTCTGATGCACTGCTGGTGGACTGGGAACTGTGCTGAATGTCATCAGCAAAACAAGCTAAAAATGCATACAAATCTAAACTTCCTGCATATCCGTTCACTTCAAAATTTGGTGTCTTATTCCTGTATATATTTAAGTTGCCTATCATTTAAATCAGATAGTCAACTTGGTGTGACTTTACCATGTTTATTACACATCTGTTTTTGTTAAATCCATCACAATGTCCTTTTTAGTACCTGTTTTTCCAAGTATAACAAAATCAGTAAGGTGCATATAGGCCATCCTATGCCTTTCTTGAAATTTGGGGAGGGTTTGAAGGACAAAGTTGGTCCTGTTGCCTTCCAGGAATTTTTTGAAGTCTCTTATAAGATATTTGTTTGACTGAAAGCTACATTTTAAAAATGAATTGATGAAGCTGTAAGGTTGAGTGGTGACACAAACCTGCTAATCAAGGTTCTTTTAAAAATGTGTTGATGGTATTGATTACCGGTGGACCACTAGTGTTTTTCTGAATTGTTATTTTTTGCTGTTATTTAGGGTTCTGCTACACTTACAGGGCTACGTAACTTCTAATCCAGGTATCTTAATCTTTTTATATAGATAGACATATATATATATATAATCCTATTTAAACCAAATGTGTAAATAGCTGTGCTATTGAAATATTTTGGAAGTTCAAGATAGCTTGCTTCTGTCTTTAGGGCAATTATTAAAAAATACAGGACTAACTTTACTATTTAGCAGACTCTTGGGTTATCAATGAGTCTTTCCTTTTAAGTATAAAAATACATCAGGGTTATCCCTGTAGTTAATAATAAAAATGCCTGGGATATTTGTGGAAGTTGTACTTTACATTTAAACTACTTAGCCCATTTTCAGAGTTAATATCGTATAATCTATGGTGTATGCTGTTAATAACAATGCTGTGACGAAACAAGTTTTCATTTGAAAAATAATCACTTGACTTGATTTGATAGTTTTTACAGAATTCACAGTGCTGTGTTTCCAGGGTAGTAAAGCGTGCTAGTCAACATACTATTAATCATTGCAGTTTCTCTTTAGAAATATTTTGTTGAAAACCATTTTGCTCTGAATTTAAAGCCTACAAGAATTTGACTAATAACTTCTTGCCATGAAATATGAAGCATCTGACACAATGAGTATGTCTGTGTGTAGTATTGAAGGAAAACATTCTTTTGAATGGCTTGTGGATTGAAGTTTGACTGCGTTTTTTTCATCATCATATATTTCTGTGCATTATCAGTGTACTGAGATGGATGAATATGTTGAAGCCAGAATAACTTTGCACTGAAAATGTATTAAGACCCTTAAATGCAACTGCTTCTCGGTGCTGTCACAGGCTGGGAATATATTTTCATAGCTCAAGAATAAGGAAATTACTCCTTTCTTTATTATCTTTCATTTTATACTCTCTATCTGTTAAATAAAAAGACTGTAGGGTACAATTTTGAAAAGGGCCACTGTCTTTTTATAAAACTACTCTTGAATTTGTTCTCCTCCCCCTTCTTCCAAGTTTAATAGTATCCAAATTAAAACTGTATCTAACCTCAGATTTTAACTCCGGGAGCCAGAGGTTATCTGCAGTTCACTTATTTGGCTTGATTTTAATGAGTTCAGCCATTATAATGCGAAGAAGAGGGATAGCTGGTTTCCAGCAAGTCTGAACTCCATGTGATATCTTCAGATTGTTTATGGCAATGCACAGTTAAGGTCTTTACTTGTAATATCTGTTTTTGTTATCACAATATTTTTAGTATTTTAGCTATCTTTGTTATAAAAAATTGCTTCGTTGTTCAAAAGTATCTGTAGGGAAGTCTGGATAGCACATTCAGTCACTGTTTGCCACCCCCAAGGGGCGTGTGAAGCAGGGCTGAATTCAGTGGGCAGTGAAGTGGTTATCTCACGCTGGGTCCGGCGGCAGCTTAGTCCATCTCCCCAGAGGTACCCTAAGCCGAGCACCTGGCTTGTCCTGAGTCATAGCTTCAGTGTGCAGAAGTAACGGAAACTCTTCTTTGCAAAGGCCAGCTTCCTGCAGGTAAGCTTAAACTGTGACCATTCATCCTTGGTCCTGTAATTCTGTTTAACTGGAGAAGAAAAAAAAAAAAACTGGACAAAAGGATGTAAAGATTTCATGGGTTGTTAATTTTCTAACTGGGAGTACTAAGTGATTTTGCTGTATGTGGCAGTGGCTCTAACGACCAATTCTACTACTGGGATGACAGGGAACAGCAGAGGTGCAGTGGCCTGTTAACAGTACCAGAGTGTCCTGGTACAAGGTTTATTTTCTCTGTGCCTTTCTTAGAGATGGCCTTTATGTGGCAATAGAGCGAAACTTGAGTTTTCCACAGTACTGTGTGGCCAGTTAATAATCAATGTCAAAATTAATGCATTTCCAGATTTAAAAAAAAAAAAGAAAAAAGGAAAGAAAAAGAAAGAAGTCCTTTACAAATACAGACATTTTTAAATGAGAGTTTATAATTAATGCTAACAGGTAGCATTATATATAATCAGAAAACCGTGTACTTCTTTCAGTATATCTTTGTCTCCAATCTCAACATACTTGAATTGCTACCGGAGACTTTTATGACATATTTCTTGTTTCACATCCTGGCTGTTGGGATAGACTATATGCTTACATATATTTACCAAATACGTAATCCTTTCAGGTTTGCTAAAAGTCATTCCATCTATATTCTTCTCTGGGATTGTTTTGGGGGTTTTGTGTGGGTTTCTTTTGTTGTTGTTTTTTTGTTTTTTTTTTTTTTTTTAAAAATGCTGTTTTGTTTCCAAAGTAGCAACTTCTGGTGGTGATGTATTGAGTTTGAGGTGGTTTTATGTTGTAGTTTATGTTGATAGTGTGACATTTAATACCCTGAAATTGAATTGTAAATACATTATTTTAAACTCTGACATTTAAACCCCCTGCCATGGAAAAGCGAATGTTTCTCTGCTGCTTTTCAGATGAAATTCTTTTACAACAGCTTTGGCTTTTCAGATTTTCACCAGAAAAAATAAGATACATTGCATGATTTCTGTTGCGGTTTTATGGTTATGCTATTATTTAGGGTTTTTGGATTGTCTTAAATGCTGTTTTTAGTGGAGTTTGTAACAGTACATCATTTGCATGTTCTGTTGGGGTGAAGTGGTGTCCTGTCTAGCGAGCACGGGACTGAGTGTGGAGTCCAGACTCCAGAGGCTTTGCATCTCCCTGGACTTGCCATTCATTAATTGGGCTGAAGTCAGTCCTGAGAGATCAGTAGCATAGCCTGCGCTGACTTCAATGGCAGTAGCATTGAGCTTTCCCCATGTGACGTTGGACAAGTCACTTATCTCCTCTTATCTCAGTTTAACCATCTTTTAAATGGATGGACCAATGTTTACCTACCTCACAGGAGGGCTGTGAGGGCAAACTCATTGGTTTTGAAACTCTTCAAGATTCTGTGATGAAAGGTTACATATAAATGCTTACTGTAGTTTTATGTTAATATTTCAACTTTATTCATGTTGGCATTCATTCTGAAACCTCCTACTACTGACTTTAGCATGCCAAGAACTTGGGATGCTTTCCCCCACATACCGAGCAGGATGATCTTTCCTCAAATACTCCAGCTTATGAATTAGGCAAAATCCCAAATAAGAGCTGACTGGATCAACTCTCAGCTTCCAGTTGATCTTCTGCCATGCAGGAAACACAATCAAAATTAGTGAAACACTCTTGTTTATGGAGCTGACAGGATAAAATAGTCATAGATCAGAAAAAGATGAAGTGCTTTTGATTTAAAATTGTCATGGGCAGGAAAACAAAAATGAAGTTTTGTGCATTTCATCTGTAGGCCTTTTACTGTATAGTAATAAATATATTTAATACAGTCCATTCTCATCCCAGTGAGGTGCAGCATGCATAAAGCTTTGTGCAGGTTTGCTTTTTTAAAACCAAAGTTTGTACATTTCACATACGTAATCTAAAATCCTGAGGAAAACAGGTTAGAATACGGTTTTTGATGACAGTGATATTAAAGACATCAAAAAAGCCTGCATCAGTGCTTAATTGCTAATGCACTTATACTAAATAAGGCATGCTGTTTGTGTTTAGAGCCCTGTGGTCTTCATTATTGCTTTGATTTGTGTATCTCTCTTATAAGAATTCCAGGAAAATTAGGTACAGGTACGTGGTACATAACTGAACCTTTTTTGATCATTTTATCATGGATATATTTTGAACTTGTATAGGGATAAGCATGAAGGAGTCATGCGTATGTATAAATAATGTATTTGACCAGTGTAAAAATAGTTCTGTTGATGTATTGGAAATGTAAGTACATTTTGTGCCACTAACACTGTGATGTATAAAAGAGCTGTTGAATGCCTTTTAATGTTGTGTTTTGTACTTTGAATCATATTGAAGAGTTTAATTTGTAATTTCAATAGATATTTTAAATGAATGTGTCTCCTGTGATTTTTCATAGTGACTTTTCAGTGCTATATTTTCACTAAAGAAAAGTGCTTTTGTTATGGTAGGACTCCCTATGCTTATCTGCCTCTCCATCCTTCAGAGCAAGCACAGCCTGCAGCCTGGAGACCTGCTGCCTCACTTGTGGGCATAACAGCGGTTTCTGGCTCATCATCTCATCTTGCAGCTTAGCTGAAAGACTGAATCTGCTTATCTCTAGAGATAGTTTGACCCACAGCTGGGTCATAGAATCGTCAAGGCTGGAAAAGACCCTTAAGATCATCAAGTCCAACCATTAACCTATCACTGCCAAGTCCACCACTAAACCATGTCCTCAAGCACCACGTCTACCTGTCTTTTAAATACCTCCAGGGATGGAGACTCAGCCGCTTCCTGGGGCAGCCTGTTCCAATGCCTGAATTTGGCACTGGTCTTTGGTCCAGCTCCTGTTGCAGTCATTGGTGTACGCTCTAGCTGGGTGAATGTGCTGCTCCGAGGATCACTGAGATGCGTGTATATTCTTGCACCACAGATTTAGGTCTGGTGGAGGTGGCTGTAACAGATCTCTCCACAGTGAGTAGCTTGTATTCACTTCGGTTTGGTGTTGTGGAGGTAAAACTTTTAAAGGCAAATTCCAATCTCCTGTACAACAGAGCATACTTAACTCTCTTTGACAGTG